GGATAAATGGCGGTGATCGGAATTTGACTCGGGTATTTAAATTTCCAATATCCGGGGTATCCAAATATTTAGTTTTTACGTGATATTCTTGAAAACAGAACACTGTACACAATTCTACTTTGAATTTTACGCAATGGTATACAATTTGCGCGGCACATTGAGGAGTACATAACTTTAAGCATCTCACGGATTGTCAGATAATGTTAAAAGAACTTCAACTTTATTAACAAAGATAGATCCCTTCTTGCTACATAAATAATAATAATTAATACAGTTGCACCAGAATAACAAAAAATAAAATAATAGAGAAGAAGGTCAATATAAATTGTTACGTGATCAGAAATTGCGTGATTATGCCAAGTAACAAAACGAACTCGACTTCAACTAGTATATTATATTAATACTCGAAATAACGTTCATCATTTCAATCTTCTTCTTCCTTTCGTTTCTCAGTTGTCACGTGATGGTGGAAGTTCTGATGGAACCATGTAGCCAAGAGTTGATCGCGGAGAAGGGTTGCAACCTGAACAACCCGAACTCCGTGATACGATTAGCCAACAACGACTCGAACCTGAAGGAGCCGGACCTTACTCCGATTCAGAGCTTCTACAATGGACAAAGCATCTTCATCACAGGTGGTACCGGTTTCGTCGGCAAACTCCTGATAGAGAAATTGCTACGCGACTGCCCCGGGATCTCAAACATGTACTTGTTGGTGCGTCCGAAGAAAGGGAAAGACGTACACGAACGCATCGAGGAATTGTTCGACGATCCGGTAAGAATCATCTTCAAGGTCATCCAAGAACTCATATGAACTCCTACCAGTATTTCATTTTTCACGCTTCTCTACGTTTCCTTGAACTTCTTCATGAAAGGATCGAGGCACGCAGTAGCTTTCCCTCGAGCTTTCGCCATTTTTCTATTACCCATGTGATTCAATTGGACGTCGGATTTGATTTTGTTTAGGTGTTCAGCCTGCTGAAGGAGAAGCACCCGAAATTCCGACACCAGATCGTGGCTGTGGCGGGAGATTGCGTTCAACCGGGCCTCGGGATGTCTGCCGCGGACAGACAAATGGTAGCGCGGGACGTCTCGATCGTATTTCACGTGGCTGCGACGGTCAGGTTCGATGAGAAAATGAAACTCGCTGTGCCGATCAATGTTCGCAGTCCGAAAGATGTGATAGATATTTGCAAGGAGTGCTCGTGTCTAAAGGTGATTTCGATTCGATATTCCCTTCCAAGTGGACGTTTTATAAGTTTTTAACACGCGGAGGGTGTAACGAGTGAAGAACTTTGCAGGCGTTCGTGCACGTTTCGACCGCGTATGCCAATTGCCCGTACAATCTGATCGAAGAGAAGCTGTACGAGCCGCCGATGGACGCGGACAAATTAGTGACTCTTACAGACTGCATGGACGAGAAACTGGTCGAAGAAATCACCCC